ACGTTGTGGATGTGCTTAGTGTGGATGATGGGGATTCCTGGCAAATTTTAGACCTGGGTAACAGCAAACACAATTATTTCTAAAATTCTGGGTGTTTCAATTTTCATTCCATTAAAACTTGCATCATGAAATGGGGGCCCTCTGAAAAATTCTCAACAAAAAGGAAATAGGAAGAAGCAGGGCCTCCCTGGGCACTTGCCCCACAGTTTGACTGATTTGTGGACCAGCTGTGACGTGTTGAGCTCATCACTTTATTCATTTAGAAATGTCTGCAGTGCACATATCCATGGGTTTCTAACCACATGGCCATTAAGCAGAGCTGACAAGATTGAGGCCCTGTGATATCCTCACAGGTACTGACAGAGCTGGGACAAGGACCCGGGAGACCTCCCACACAGCATCCTTTCTACACCAAGACACAGCCTTGATGACCCCTTCTCTGCTGACATGAATTTCCAAATTATTAGCTCTTTCCTGAGTAATCAGTGACCTCTCATCTCTCCTGGATTTGCATGGAGTCTTCTGGAAGATTTGGGGTCAGTCTTTACAGCAACTGCATCTTGATGTGATCCCCCCGTGAGTCAAGCTTTGTGTGATGCTTCCCCTTGTGTGGAACCTGAGACTTGATTCTAGCCAACAGAGTATGTCAGAGGTGATGGGATGCCCCTCACTAAAGGTCATGTTACATGCCAGATGGTAGAAAGTGACCTGCCTGATTGTGTTATGCTGTAGGACAGGAGTCCCTAACCATGGGGCCATGGACCGGTACCAGTTAGGAACCAGGTTGCACAGCAGGAGGTGAGTGGTGGGTGAGCGAGCAAAGCTTCATCTGTATTTACAGCTGCTCCTCATTGCTCACGTTACCACCTGAGCTCCACCTCCTGTCAGATTAGCAGCGGCATCAGATTCTCATAGGAGCACAAACCCCATTGGGAACTGTACATGTGAGGGTTCTAGGTTGTCTGTTCCTTATGAGAATCTAATGCCTGATGATCTGTTACTGTCTTCCATCACCCCCAGATGGGACCATCTAGTTGCAGGAAAACAAGCTTAAGGCTCCCACTGAGTCTACATTATGGTGAGTTGCAGAATTATTTCATTATATATTACAATGTAATAATAATAGAACATGCACAATAAATGTAATGTGCTTGAATCATCCTGAGACTGTCCCCCACCCCACCCCTGGTCCATGGAAAAATTGTGTTCTATGAAACAGTCCCTGGTACCAAAAAGGTTGGGGGTTGCTGCTGGAGGAGACGCTCTCACAGTTGACTGGAGTGAGATTACTTGAAGACATAAGCTGCTATCCTGCAAGAACACCACATGGCAAAGAACTGCAGACAGTCTTTAGGTGCTGAGAACAGCTGCAGCTACAGCCAACTAGAAAACAGGACTCAGTGTAAAGCCACAAGGGACTGAATTCTGCCAACAACCACACGAGCTTGGAAGAGGAACGCAGCTTGGCTGATATCTGACCACAACCTTGTAAGAACCTGAGCTCCCAACTAAGCCATGCTGTCTCCTGACCCACAGAAGTCGCGAGAGGATAAATGCACAGTCGATTCTCATTATACACTATAGTTATGTTCTGTGAAGTCACCATGAATGCCGAATTAGCAAATACCATTGCTGCTATGGGGGATATAGGGTTAGGTTCCCGTGAGTCTCTGGTCACAACTTTTTTTGGTTACCAATCAATATGTAACCTTGTTTTATGTGTGTTTCTGTTGACAGACACCTGCTTTAATATATATTGTCGACTCATAATATTGAACAACTCATGGCCAACAACGCCACAACTCATGCCTGAGTGAAGCTTCTCTAACACATGGATTTCCTCCAGGAAGCACATCGCAGCCTTCTCGTGCTTGGGAACGCCGGACGGCTCTTCAGTGCTGTGCTTGGGACCGTTTTAAACAGTGAAATCACCATCAAAAACACAAATTAGTGATGAATCTTGGCACTAAATAGACTGTGAAAAGTACAATTGTTTACAGCGTGTGAGCTGGAGCAAGAAGGCAGAGCGTTGCTTTGTTCAACTCAGTGGGATGTGCACCTTGGGTGACTCAAAAGTTTCAAAGTTCTGTGCACATCCACCAGTGAGCACGAAAGCATCTCGGGTATTGATTTTGGGGTTACAAATCAATTTCAGCAGTGGGAGAATTCACAAATACAGAATCTGCAAATGATGAGGATAGGCTGTTTTCTTGTTTTCAGCTGCTGAGTTTGTGATCACTTGTTAGGCAGCCATCGCCAACTAACTCAGTCTCTCACTGCCGTCACTCTGCCTGCCGGCAAACCCCAGCCAAGCTCTCTCTCGGAAATAAAATTCTGTTTCCGGTGAATATGCTGTTTCATACTCCGACTTTCTTTGCCTTCAGCCTTCCCTTGAACGTGACTCCTGTTCTGCACATATGAGGACGTTAAACAAACACTGTTCTTCTGACACAACCTTTCTGTTATTTGAGTGTTTTATAGTACATTCCTAGAACTCCTGTGTATTAGAAAAACACAAGGAGGTGAAAGGCTTTGCTGCCCTTCATTAAGATATGGTCTCTGTAGCAGACACAACTCATTCCCTCAGCCTGGCTTAAACATGAGGTCAGATCTCCTTTATTCTTTGGTTTAAATCATCACATGGTTTAAGCCTTTTTCTTATCCAGCAAGATCATTTTTCTTGCTTTTATAAGAATCCCACTTCCTTTCCCTGACGGATCAAAGAATTCCAGAGCTCACTCACCATGACTCACGCATGCCCCAGCCAAGTTCACAGGGTCGAAAGAAAACCAGGAAAGTCGCTCTGTCCTCTGGCCAGCCCAGGTCTTGGCTGCCTTGCTGTGGTTGTTGCCCTGCTGCACGATTTCTCAACCCCAGGGTCACCAGCCACCAGCTCCTTTCCTTTGCTCTCTTCTATACCATTACAGAAAATTGGATGAATACCTCTATATGACTGAAGCAGGGACTGTCCCCTCTCATATCCGTCCCTCAGTGCAGGCACCCTCACCCTATGGACATCACCCTGAATATCAGACCAGCCAGATGTGTCCCACATTGGTCAGCAGAATTGAAGCTGAGAGATCCCAGATCCTGCACCGTACAGTCTGGGCTTAGCACTGTCTCCAGTAACTGAGCTGAGTAGGTTGACAGCTGTGCATAAAGCCATCGCTTCTCCCAAGGCTTGCACAGAAGATTTAGTGGGCAGGTTGCTAGCACCTTCTGCTCTCCACTCAACATTGTCTCAGAGACCATCATATAACCCTCCACATTAGTGCACCCCTCACCCTCCAAGTGTGGAATCTGCCCCTCCCTCAATCAGTCCTCAAAACCAGCCTGCCCTCAAGAGGGGGGAAAAAACCCTCCCAGTTGTATATACAGATCCTCCTCCTTTTACAATGGGGTTATGTCCTGATAAAGCTATTGTAAGTTGAGAATATCATAAGTTGAAAATGCACTCAATACGCTTCATCTACTCAACATTATAGCTTAGCCTAGCCTACTTTAAACATGCCTTAGTCAACAGTTGGGCAAAATTGTCTCACACAAAGCCTATCTTATAATAAAGTGTTGAATGTCTCATGTAATTTATGGACTTCTGTACTGAAAGTCAAAAACAGAATGGTTGTGTGGGTAGCATTGCAAAGTTGAAAAATCACAAGTCAAACCATGGTAAGTTGGGACCCTCTGTGTTAAAAAATACTATCACAAAGGAGCTCTGAGTGGGACACAAACATTCTTATGTTGAACTGCACCACTGCAGCACAGGACTTAGATAAATGAAGAGAAAGAACAACATTACGTTTATGACATAGGGAGAAAAATCTGATTGTCCACACACAATTAGCAATGTTTCCCCATCCCAGGGACTCAGAGTGACTTGGCTATTTCCCCATGTTGCTAGGTTAATCATCATCATCTGCTTCAATGCAGCAAAATAGGAGGAGAATTAATGAACCATTTCATAGCAAGCACTCGCTGCGTCTCAGCATAGGCTTACAGAGTAGCCTCAAAAATAAATTACGCAGACCTGCTATATGCTTGCAGAATGGAGAGAAGAGCTAACAAAGCCACAATTCTCCCTTCTTTGAAGCCTCTGCACAAAATATATAGTTTTCCACTTTGGTTGATTCCCCTAGGGTTTTGTATTAGTGGTGATTGATTTTCTTCTTTTATCAATTGATGCTGTGTTCTCAGATCACTGAACATTAGAGATGTTACAATCTCATTTGCAGAAAGCTATAAAAAGTTATATTTGGAGAATGAGGGACAATACATAAAAAGCATTCTGAAGCATGCTAGCACTTTGGCCTATAAAATGAAGATAATTGTAATAATTTATCACATAATTCTGCTTAAGATTTAATTATGTTGTGACTTTGAGATTTCTTCTTTCAGAATTTATAACTGCAATGAATCTTAAAACAATAAAGGAGTTGGAGAAAAAAAGCAGAAGAAAATCCTTGATGTAAAAAAGATATAAGCACAGAATTCTTCAAAGAAAAAAGAATGAGACAAATCAATGTGCCAATGATTACTCTCAACTCAGCCATTAGCTCATTTGTATTACTTTAATATATATCACCTGCTCATAATATTCCACTTGGCTTCAAAATTCTTCCTCCCTCCATGGCAGAAGTGATTGGACATTATTCTCATATGACTTCTTTATCCTAGATTTCTCCTGTTTTAACAGCTACATTCCAAACTAATATTAAGAACTGTCACATGATACCATTTACAAATCATCAGAAGCATGCATGGAATTCAAAAGGGATAAAGTAGCATTCTCCAAAATATTTTACGGGCATTCTTATTTGTGCTTCACCTATTCTGAAAAGTGTTTGAGGCTTCTCACTACTATATATGTATTAAAATAGAATTTTGTAAAGTAAGAGAAGAAAACTGTGGGAACAATGGAAAACAAGGATAGGAAAAGTAAGATGAGGTCAGCCCACCTGTATTATTCAACTAGTACTGCAGAAGTGCTGCATAATGGACAATGACAAAATCTCTGTCGCTGACAATTGCAGCATTCCCTTTGCACTCATAAGCCTGTGAGTCAGCTGGGGGCCTCTCTCACTGCAGACCCTGCTGGCTCTGCTCCACAAGTCTCTCACCTTCCTGGGACCAGAGAAGCCAGTTGGGGAGTGTTCTTTTCATAGTGAAGGCTGAGCATAGGCTGGCAAATGGAAATGCATGATGCTTCCTAAGGCCTCAGACCTAGCAACTATCAGTTCCACTTTCCTCGTCTTATGTAAGTTGAAACTCTGAAGCAAATCTGCACAAGGAATGGGATTCTGGGAAATGTAGTTACCAGACTTAGATGTCTATAGTGACGGTGGTAAAGGTGAGGGTGATGGTGTGATGGTGATGGGTAGTAATGATGATGGTGGTCATGGTGGTAATGATGGTGATGATGGTGACAGTGGTAGTGACAGTGGTGGTTATGGTGGTGATGCTGTTGGTGGTGATAGTGGTGGTGGTGGTGGTGGTGGATGATAATGGTGGTTTTGGTGGTGACAGTGGTGGGTAGTGATGGTGCTGATAGTGGTAGTGATAATGGTGGTTTTGGTGGTGATGGTGGTTAACAGTGGTTTTGGTGGTGATGGTGGTAGTGGTGATTATGTGTTGGCAGGTGGAAGATGATGGTGGTGATAATGGTAGGATGTGATGCAGCTGGTGGTGCAGTGATGGTGGTGGTGGTGATGGTACTGGTGGTGTGGGTGATGGTGGTGGTGGTGGTGGATGGTGCTTATAACAGTGATGTGATGGTGGAGCAGCAGTGGAAGGCGGTAGGTGTGGTGATGGTGTGTGATGGTGATGGGATGGTGGTGGTGGTGATGTAGTAATACGGTGATTAAAAAGGCAGATGAAGGTGATGGTGGTGATAATGGTAGTGATGTGATGGTGCTGATGGTGGTGGTGGTGATGGTAGTAGTGATTATGTTGGTGGTGAAGGTGATGGTGGTGATAATGGTAGTGATGTGATGGTGGTGGTGGTGGTGGTGACGGTGGTGATGGTGGTGATGATGGTAGTGATGTGACGGTGGTGGTGGTGGTGGTGGTGACGGTGGTGGTGGTGGTGGTGATGGTGGTGACGGTGGTGGTGGTGGTGATGGTGGTGGTGGTGATGGTGGTGATAATGGTAGTGATGTGATGGTGCTGGTGGTGGTGGTGGTGGTGGTGGCGGTGGTGGTGGTGGTGGTGCTGCTGCTGGTAGCAGTGATGTAATGGTGGTGGAGGTGCAGTGGTGGTGGTAACAAGCTGACAATAGATAATTAAGCACAGTATGAAAATGTTCAGTCCCTGAGCACCTTTCTAGACATAAGCTTGAAACAACTTTTATACTTTCTGAAATTCAATTCAAGGGGAAACATGATCACAGAGGCTGTAAGATTCACTTAGGGATGGGTCATTTATAATTCATTGTGGAGCAGGTTCTTTTTGTGTGAAGTTTTATCTTCATCAATTTCAGTCACTTCTGTTTTTTATCTGATGATTCCACTGTTTTCTCTGTTTTCTTTTTCTGTGACCCTTCTGTCTCGTCATGTGTCTCATTTTTTTCATCTTTTTATGTTTGGGAAACATTTTCCTGACCCCACCTTTACTTTGTAATCTCAAATAGTTGTTCTCTTCCATTTATTTCTTTTTCAGAATATTTTGTTTTTGGTTTATGTACTAAAAATTTTACATCTCTCTATTAATTGGAATATTATTCTTAGATTTTTTCTGTATCGCAAATTACCATATTTTTTCTGTTCATAATTTTTTCTGTTTCTTTATCCAGGTCTTCCTTGTTTGAGCTAGAAATCAAAAGGTATCTGAGACAAATATCAATCAATTTAGAGGTTTATTTTGCCAAAGTTGAGGATGTACCCAGGGAAAAGAAACACAAGTTACAGTAGGATCTGTGGCCTGTGCTTTATCCAAAGAGAGTTTCATGATCATCAATATTTAAAGGCAAAAGAGCAGGCAGGAGCGAAAGGAGGAAAGAAAAAAAATGGAGGGCAGGCAATGAGGCAAGCAGTTACATTCTTGTAAGGCTCTGATTAGTGCTCACTGCATCAACATTTTACATAAAAGGAGAGGAGTAGGGGGAAAGTCAATAATGCACTCCTCTCAAGCTCAGTAAATCTACATTCTACATAAGATAAAGTTAGCATGTGAAATTACAGCTTTCTGTCTGGAACAAAGAAAGGCAGGTTTTGTTTGGTTGGTTGTTTCTGTTGTGTGTGTTTTGTTTTGTTTTGTGTGAATCAGTTCCCAGGCTGAACTTTTCGCCTTTGGCACAGTGACTTTGGGATCTTGAGATTTTATTTTTCTTGCACGGAGTTTAGGCCTCTTCCTCTGCCTGATGATTCTTGGTTTTCTGTTTGGGATTGAGAAAACAGGATGGGTATCTGGTGTTGGTTCTCTCTGTGGCTGGGTATCTATGGTATGGTAGGATGTGTTCAATTATTTTAGAAAATAGGCTACAGTGGTTTCTCTTAGAACATCTACAGGCCACCTCTCCTATGGATCAAGGAGTATATATTCTTGGTGAACTTGTGACTTATCAGGACTTTAATAATCCCCCTGCACACCCAGTTAACATATTGCAGGAAGTCGTTTCCCCACATATTTCATTAGCCAACATATTTCTCTCTAACTAGCAGTGTCAGCATTTTCCATTAAATAATCCATGACTTCTCATACTATTTGCCTTTGCCAACTTCACCATATATTCAAACTCCTTCTCTAATAATAGGGCTATACGAACTAAAAATAAACACAGCTTTACAGCATTTTTAATATTTGGAAAAGTCACTTCCCCTCATAATACTTTCTTTCAAAACATTTAAAATTTATTCTTAACACTTTTTCTTCCACATGAACTTTGGATTTATTTTAACAAGTTTTCCCAAAAATAGTATAGAGACTTTGTTTGGAATTATTTTAATTATGTAAGTCAGGAAATTTAATCATACAAAATAGTCTTAGCATCCAAGACATGTTATGTAAATATTGGTATTACTTATTTTTAGATGTGTAATAATAATAGTATCTGTAATTATTATTTCTATGCTTTCCAAGTAGTTATAGACATTATAAAGACCTGATTTTTTATATGTTACTTTCAGAATCAGTCACTGAATTCTATCAACAATCCATACATTATTTTGATTGACAATCTGGGGTGTTTATATACAATCATACTGGCTGCAAACAGTAATACTTCTATCTTCTTCATATGAAATGTGTATTACTTGTTTTTGTCTTTTGTCCAGAGCCTCCAAAGTAACACTGTAATGTGTTGATAGGAATGAGAAATGAAGACCTTCACTCAGTTTATTTTTCTACAATTTCTCTATTCCTTGACTACACTGGGCAGAGGTATTTGTCTTTGCAAATAAATCATTTTTTGTTTCACTTATTAATCCTATCACCTTATAATTCATTAATTTCTGATTTCATCTATATTATGTTCTAATTCCCTATATTGAATAACTTATATATTTATTTTCTTCTTCATCTGGAAATGAAAGAACTTAGGGTTAATAATTGGCCTCTCCAGATATCTTGGAAAGCCTGAGTTATGTAGTGTCTTCCTTTTTAATAATTTTCTAAATAATCTGAAATAATATTTGATATCCTATTAGTTATCTGGGAGGTCCTTTATTTTATTTGTTATATCTTAACTAATTGGGTTACCCTTTCTAAATGTTTACCATAAATCTTGAATTTTAGAAAACTATGTTCGTGAATAACAAGTTTTGCTTTGAGGATTTTATAGAGCCAAATATATGCAACTTTTGTAAATGTTCCATGGACATTCGAAAATTAGTAGTCCTATTAGTACGAGCTTTATCTTTTCTAAGTCTTATATTATCATTGTGATAGTCTGAACAGCGACCCCTCAAGATATACAGGTCCTAATCCCTCAAACCTTTGGATATTACTTTATAGGACAAGACTTTGCAGATGTGATTAACAGTTTTGAGATGGGGAGATTATCCTGAATCAACTTAAAGGAAAAAAAAAAACTGAGCCAAAATTAATAAAAGTAGAGAGTTTATTTGGGCCAAATTTGAGGACTGCAACTCAGGAGCATAGATCCAAATTGCCCTGAATCTACATTCTAATTAACAGCAGTTACAAGTGGGATTTTAAAGAAAAAAAGGAGAGGCAGTTCCTAAGTTGTTTACCAAGAATTTACATTAAAATAACATAGTCTATTGAATGTCTATACATTGTCCTTTGTATCACTAATTCCAGGAACAGGATATGTAGGTGAGACAGCCGGTCTGAAATGCTTTTAAACAATTGCCCCCAGCATAGGTGTGGAAGGGCGGGGTGTGACTGAAACCCTCTGCTCAAGTCTCGCTGAGTCTGGTAAGTTCTGCCCACTTCGTTCAGACTGCTCTCAGATATTTTTCTTTTCTCACCTGGATTATCCAGGTATGCCCTAAATGCAAATCACAAGTATCCTTACAAGAGAGAGGCAGAGAGAGATTTGATACATAAGAGGAAGGCCTTGTGACCACGGAAGCTGGATGCTGTGCCGCTGGCTTTGAAGGTGGAGGGAGGGGCCAGGAGCCAGGGATTGTAAGGAATGCAGCTCCAAGCTAGAAAAGGCAAGAAAGGGCAAGAAAATGGGTCCTCCCCCGAGCCTCTGGAGGCGGTGAGGCCCTCCTGACATCTCCATTTCAGCCAGTGAAACTGATGACAGCCTTCTGACCTGCACAGCTGTGAGACAGTCAACATGTGTTGTTTTAAACCATCACATTTGTGGCAATTCGTATGGCAGCCATATGCAACCAATTCTCGTTTCATGGTTTCCTGATCTACCATAGAGTAGTGGCATTGATAAATTCTTCCTAATAGTTGTATTTTGATCATTTCTTCTTGACTTTTAAAATATGAATTTACAATGCCAGTACTGGGTTTCTCAGCATATGAAGGCGAAGGACCATTTTCACTAATACCTTTCAACACAACATGACTTTTATTACCACTTTAAGGCTCCTTGAGTTGATGCCTACATTTTCTTGATATTGAAACCATCATTTTCTCTGTCATGTGAACTTTCCTCTCTCTCTTTTCCCAGCCTTTTATTTTAAATTGTAAAAGAGCTCTCCTTAATATTTATTTCTTGTATCATATGGTCCAATTTTTGCTTCCTATTGTAAGACTTTGCTTTGATATAGTAGAATTTAAACTCCCAACTTTTATTAACATAACCAAAATGCTTGACCCTTATGCCTCTCATCTTGT